ATTTTTTTGGGGGGAAAGGCTTAACAACATTTTAGGGTTAAAGCAGATTTTGCATAGAGGAATGCAAAAGCTGAATGAAAACTTAAAAAAAATGGTTAAATTTTTTGAAATTTGGTACACTTAAAAGTTGAATACAACAATGTAATATTGATAATGTTTCAAATTTTAAAGTTACATTACACGAGACCTATCTGCAGCCTTCTAAAGTTCAGTTCTAAAATCTTAAAAACTGAAAGGTTAAAATAAAATTCATAGGTGAGATATAATACAAATAAAATTGGAGTTTGATTATTATTATTAGACAAGGACATGTGTAATTCATGCTTGTGTTAAAAACGTCGACTCCAACCGACCAGTTATAGCAAATTGAGTTGATTATAAATTGGAAAACCGAAATTTTTTTTTTTTAAGGTTTTTTCCTGGATTTGACACAGTGAACCTAACCAATGCCTCCTAAATCGAATACCTTCACAACTAAACTAGGGTTAGCCCCATTATTCAAATCCGCTTTGTGTTTCTAACAAATGAATGTTCGTACATATTATTGAAATCCGAAAGTTTGTGCAGCCCCCAAAAGTGTTAAACTAAAATGTTTATTATTCCAACCGGCAGACTAAGGGTAGATCGTACTTGGAAACGGGGAGACCGCCGTTGAGAGCATCCAGAGTAAAAACAGCTGTGCGGCAAACTAATTTCCCGAGGTCCACATTATACTGGTATGGACAAACCTAACCTAACCCGAGATAATTAAACGGGTAAGTCCATTACGAACGGCTGTCCAAACATGTTGGCAACAAATAAAAATTAAAGCGAAAAATGTGCCCAACAGTGAAATGGTTCTAAATGAAAATGTCTCTGGGCAAAATGTACCTACTGTCAAGAATAACGGCCTGGACATGGAACGTTACACAAGTTCAACACAAACCCGTTTAAAGTCTAATAAATTACAAGTTTTTAGTCAGACTAAAAGCAAAACGGTCGCATTAAAACGGCTATACGGTTTTTCATTAATAAAATATATTTTTTAAAGTTTAAAAAAAAAAACGGTTAATGTGTTTGTACAGTGGTTTTGACAATGAATTTTAATCGACTTGATTCAGAACTGATTTTTGAACTATTAATTGGTTATCATTTTTTTGTTTTACCTGATAGAAAATAATATGTAAATTAACAGAATATAAACTACTAGAGATCAAAATATGTTATAGTGCTAAACATAATTAAGGAACATACTATATGTTTGTGCATTATTTTGTCTCGAAAAACTTTGATATTTCTTCAAATTTTTTTATTTTTTTACAATAATATATAGTCAAAACCAATTCAAGACGTTTCATTTATTATTCACGACACGTTTAAAAAAGTATAGAAGTCTTGTATTTTTGTTTTTTAATCTATTATTCAAACACTACTAATAAACTTGCTGTTAACAGGTACATAAGTGGTCGGTGAAAGTATAATATTTTTTTGGAATTTTAATAGGTTTAAAAAATTGTTTAAATAATTGTTTCAACGGTAATAATAATAGTATATAATTGGCAACTGAACTCGACTGATATGTGTTAAAAATTCTAACATGTAGTTTTTATCAATTGTGTTTTATATTATTTAAAAACTATTAATACTGTGCATGTTATATTATTTTATATGTCAGTAACAACGTGTTTAAATGTTGGTTTTTTAATTACCTATTTAAATACCGTTATCAGTGGTTATTTATGGATTTTTAATTGCATATATTAACGATTATAAAATAGTTTGTGTTTATTAAATCAAATTATATTTATACCAAAATGGCTATTGTACCCTCGCAAGGTGTACCTATTTAAAACTATTTTCTTGTGGACAGGACTTGGGTAAAGTTTATGTCGTGCAACATTGACTGTACACACACATTCGGCCAACAACATTTTACAGGTAGGTTATTGTTTTTATTTGTTTAAGCCGCTATTTTTAATCCAATGCGTGCTAACACGAAATATATAGTGGTCCGTTTTCTACGCATTCGATTACGGGGCGTTTATTTATGAAACCGATTTGAAAAAAATGCATAGATGGAACAACAACAAAAAAAAAAAACACCAACAGCCAGCGAAAGGGCCCGAAAATAAATTACCGCCTGCCTAACCTATAAGACCTTAGCGGTGACAATGGAAAGAGCAAAACACATATTGGTTTTTGCGTTGATGTGTTTCTCTTCTGTATAGGTATACTATATATATATATATTATTAAAAATGTACACAAAGCACACAAAACGTGGGCGCAAAACGTCCAACTGGAAATAGAAATACTACAAACACAATGCACAAAACATAGTCTTCGACTTAAGCAAAATCGAAAACCACTGTTCGTCGTCGTCGTCGCCCGACCAAAAAAGCCTTTTATCCACATGAGTTCCAAATAATAATTAGATTTACCCTTAGAATACACACACACAGTCCTTTCCAGAAAACCGCCCGTTGCAGTCAGGTCCACAAAACAATCCAAGACAATCTCTTGGTGTAACAATAATAATATTGCCTACAAACGAGACAGAGTTGGATATTTTTCGAAAAAAATTTCATTAAAAAAATGTATATTTAAAAAAAAAAAAATTTAATTTATACACCAAAAGGGTGAAACTGCGCTAAAAAGTTTTAGTCAGCCCGACACGGGCTTGCTGAAATTACAACAAAAAAGATTACATTGTATACTCACATTAGCAACACAAAGACAAAACAAAAACATTTTTCCTGTGACTAAAGCATATAATTGCATATTTGGACATTTTAAAATGCATATTTTAATACATTTATGGTCATTTCCATCCCAGCTCTAGTCACGACTAAATACTGTCTGAAGTGCTCACATTTTTCTTTAGTCATAGTTAGACAGCGAATATATTTTTTTTTTTGAGTTTTTATAATATAAAATCAAGTCTTTAATAATATGTTCGTTATATATTTTGTAATCAGAATTTTTTCGCACACAATTAATTCGTTTTCTTCATCGAAGAAGGGTAACTGTAGCTAGAAGGGGGAGCTTGTTAAAAACAATCTTATATTTCAATTTTAATCAGAGCAAAGTAATAACCAACTTGCGTGGCGAAATTTGATTACTTTTTGTTATTTTTTTTTTTTATGAATAAAAAACAAGTCGTTGCCATTTGGCTCAGAGATGAAAAATGGAAAAATGATATCGTTGACCTATGGTGTCGAAAACCCTTTGTTTTAAGTACGTACTCACGTGCTTGGCCACCAAAGTAAAAAGCGACTTATCTGAAGGATTAAACCCTGTGTTATACGAGCTAAGATGGCGGAAAACGTTTTTAGAGCGTTCCCAGTAAGAAAGGGACCCGGGTCAATAAACAAAGTGGATAAATGTTATTAAGAAAAAGGCGCTGGGGTTGAAAGAAATGGAGCGGACACCACTTGTGTGGGATATGAGCCATAAAAGAGGACATCCGACCAACGTCTAAACTTTTACATTAAAGCCATTGCCCGTTTATACTTTTTTTTTTTTTTTTTGACTCCATAAAGGCACAATAAGCCCTTGGAGAATAATTCCCATTGCCATTCACACAACGGTCACCTTTAGTAATCTGAATAAAAAATTCTCAACAATGTATAGCTGTTGGTATGTTAATATATCTAGGAAAACAAAATTATTTGTCACAGTTCACTCGTATCCACGGTTTAATTATCTTGAGAATTAATTAAAATGTAACAGTTTAGCTCTCATAATTTCAATTAAAAAAAATAATGTATATTCATCATACAAATAATATGCATAACCATACAAAAAAAAAACGAAACAATTAACACAAATGATCAATTTGGTTCAGCAAAAAATATGTTTATCAAATTGAATATTTTTAGTAATTCGCTTGTAACGTTTTTCAAATTTCTTTTCTTTTCTTATTACATGTGTTTTTCTATTAATTAGGACATTTTTGGAAAACACAAAACTGCATTGTTTTTAGTGCATTATTATTGTACTGTGGAAATTAACAAATCGGTTTAAATATTTATCTTGGCCCGATTATTGGAATTTTAAAATAACTATGCTCGAGTACCTTAACTCACAACGACTACATTACTATAAAACCATTAAATTTTCAGTTAAGCATCAGAGTACATTATATTTGTAAAATATTAAATAAATTATCACTGTACCTACCACACGATTCGAAACAAGAACCAAATTGCATCAATTTTTTAATCGTTTTACATTTTAAGTTTTAAAAAATACAGTTTTATGTTATACATAACAAGCGTTTGTACTCATAAAAATGTGTTAAACTCTTCAACTAATTTTAATGATGAATGTTAAACGATTATTATCGATTTGATTCAGAACTGATCTTTGGATTATTAATATTAAAATTATTATAAAGTCGAATATTAAAATACCAAAATGTATTAATATTTAAATTTAACGTTTAATTTTTATATATTTTATTTAATCGGTTATAACTTTTTTTTTACATGAATGAATATATGTAAATTATAATTTAATCTAGAAAAAACTTGAGCAAAACTTGTGGTTATATTTTATAGCTATAGTTTAAGTATATCAATATAAAGTACCTATACAATAATAGCTGTACGTCCAGTCCTTTAGTCCAAAAAATAAAACAGATAATAACAAAGTAGCTAAATAAAGAAAAACCGATCATCTTATCTATGGAAAAGGATTAATATTCGGGCTTCGGTACAAGTTTGTGCTTGTAAAAAAATAAAAATAATAAAACCAAATTGCTTCCCTTCGGCTGTGTAGGCTCCAATATATAAACTAGTCACGGGGAAACCAACATTATCAATATATATGTAAATTGTGCGGGGGTGGGGGTTATGGTCATGGATATAATAGCTGTGATAATACCATAAAGCATACATGCAAAAGCAAACACACATTAGGTTACTGTACCAGAATTTTGCGGCAAATATTTACAATATAATATATATATATATATATTTATTGCCTACAAACACACACACACACACTGTGTTTACTCACATTTGATGTCTTGCTCGTCCCATCGCTGTCCGAAGATCCCCCAGAGTCGTCGGTTGCACTTGAATCGGTTCCGCTTTCCACCTTAGCCGGGTTGTTGGCCCGTTTGTCCCTTTCTTTTGCGCTCATAGCGCGATGCTACCCTCACGCGCGGTCTTAAGACAGCGGCTTAAGTCTGGAAAAAAAAAATACCCCCCAATAAAAACGGCGTGTAGTTTGTAACAATGAAAAGTAGTAAGTTTACACACAAAAAAAAAAAAACAACCCCCAAACGCAGGTACACGACAACGGATGTGCCTACAACAACGGTGTTTGTGAGATTTTCCTTTGCAAAAAAAAAAATATATATATATATATATCTGTAAAAAACCAAACGGATTTAAGTGGCTTGAACGGCTAAAGTCGGATGAAATGGGAGGGAAAAAATAACAATCATAATAATAATATTATGCAAATGCATTTTATACTGTAATGATTCGTATACGGTGGAATTATAAAGCGACTCGGACCACTCGGAGTGCGGTTTCTCTTAATATAATATTATATTATAAACATAAGATTGTCAACAATTATGCCGTGCCTCGGTCCTTGAAAAATATCAATTATACATGATAATTTGAAGATGAACAACATGATTTAATGTTATTACAATACACAGCTGATGGAAATAAGAATGCCACAACACAAAAAATAACCGATTTACGAGGAAACTCAATTTCAAGATCGAAACTGCTCTCAAAATGATTGGTTTTAAAGCTTAATTTTAATATTTTGCAATTATTTGTGCTCGTTGTTTTGTTAAACAAAATAGAAATTGAAATCCTCCCAAAGATAGGTACGCCGGCAAATAAAGCCATTTTTTTTTTTATCAAACTTTCGCCACAACTCGGTGAAAAATAACTCTAAAAGTTTTATTACTAGAAAAACTCAATATGTTTTTACATTGAAATTAGACAGGCATCCTCGAAACGGTTACTGGATAAACTGTTGCCAAATATTGCCTATCCATTGCGCCTTAATAAAGAGCGCTTTCCGTTCCCCATGACAAAAAAAAACCCCTCAAATTTTGTGTTGTGTACCAGTCTTGCATAATAATATATTCAATTGCTGTGTGGCGCAGAAATAATATGAATAATGTGATTACAATGCACAATCAGTCGCGCTTATATAGCTGACAATACAGTGTTATTGTCGAGCTATAGAGACACGATTCTCCCACCGGATATATACCGGATATATTTAATAATGGCAACAATACACTATCATAATAATATTCTTCCGGCACGTTCCGCCATGGAAAACCCGCCAATCAGAGAGTGTGTGATTTCGGTTTTACCGCAATGCGACTTTTGGATTCCGCGAAAATTCGTGGAGTTTCAAAAAAACACACCACACCGAAAAGGCTAAGTACACCGCCGATGTAGATAGGGTTTTTTTTTTTTTTTTGATTGGTTCCAAATGCAATTTATTTGGACATTTAAATTTACGCACGTAACGCCGATGGAAAAATATAGGTATAAAGTAAAAAACCAAAACCTCGACCACTAATTATGCCCTGCGGCGAAACATACATGTTTTATTGACTCGAGGTTAATCATTTTTTTTTTTTTTTGTAGCATTTTTACCAGCAGGTCGCAATAATGAAGTAACCGAAAAGACGAGCTGCAGTGTGACCAGAATCATGGAATTACATAATATTGCTTATCAGTTATAATATCATCCATTGTTATAAAACGGTGATAACAGTTATAAACATGTGATAAGGTTCTAATTCCCACAAAGAATGTGAAATTTGTTTTAGGAACGCCCAACACTATGATAAAACGGTATCGCTGCACAAAATATGAAACCAGTTTCGGATTAGCCGTGAAAGGTCCTATACAATTCATATTGTGTTTTAATTCTTTTACCAAACCTAATCGGAATGTGCTACTAATAATTGTTCATCTTAGCAAATATCTGTCATAACCTTTTTTTTTTTTTTATAAATAACTAATTCCCTAGCATATCATTATCCTACGATTGCTGATATATATATATATATATATACTTTGGAGTTTATCATGTAATAATTAAAGGTCGGATGTACATTGTAATTAATCATGGTACTCTGAACTTGCCAGATTTTTTAACGTCCAAACAGATAATTGTCTTTTTTTTTTAATGTTTCTCGGTTATGACTTGTGGCATGGGTCTAATCTAATTAACTCGGTTCCGTGGAAAGTCGAGAAGACGAGACGGTTAATAAGTTGGACACGAATAAAAAATAATTTGATCCCAGCCAAAAAGGAGCGTGTAACCGAGTAAAAGAAAATTAAAAGAGGATGGTCCAGAACCCGGGTAACAACGCACGAATTGGTTTTGTGGAATTAAATTTTCTCCGGCTCTGGCCGAGATCATTGTCCGAAAGTGTGACCGTGAAACTTTGTAATCGCGAAGACAGTAAGTACACAGAGCCCATTTGTTGTGCCGGTATTCTTATTAAATTTTGTTTTTCTCTGTGCGCCTCCTTGTGTTGCTACCCCGCTAATTACAACAAAACCCAATTCGGTCGGCTAATTAAATCACGACGTCCTACTACGACCTTTGTTGGAAACGCACTATACCGACGACGCCCTGGAGGATACAATAATAATAATATCTAATTGACAATATGACTTTTCATCGGGGTCGGGTTAGGGTATTTAGAACTATTGTTCGGCGACCTTAACCGCTAGCCATAACCCAACTACTTATGTATATATAAAATGAACCCTCCCCTCTGACCTAATCGATTATGAAAATATACTTTTGAACCCCCCCCCCCCACGGTGGGTTATTTTGGTGAATTCTTAATAGGCGTGTTATTTTTTAATTAAAAAAAAAGGTCGCACTCAAGAGGACAACGCCTTTCACGGTTCATAGACAGCCCGTTATTGGTTTTTGACACGTTCCATATCGCACAATACACATCAGCCATTCAACACAACATTATTATGACGCATTACTTAAGTATATTATTATTATATAGTGCAACGGCTGTGCTGTCGTCAAACGTGCAATTTGTGCGATACCAATCATAATGCATACATTTCCACTGTGCAATTAACTTTATCGGCAATCTTGTAATAAAAAATTTTAAAAAGCAACCACGTTTGGTGCAGAGTGGGGTTGAGGATGTCACAGACCTCCTTCGGGTGTTTTTTATTAACACTAAAGTGATGTCTAAAGTCATTTAAAAAAAAAAAACGCTTCGATGCGAATATCCAGTTAGAGTTATGATGTTTGAAATCGCTTTAAATTTTTTTTTTGAGGACGGGGGGGGGGTGGGAGGGTTTCTTAGTAGAAATACATTTGACTAGATAATTTCGCGTCCCAAAACTTTGGCCAAAAAGTGAAATAAACAAGAGTAAACCTACCGGCACTACTACTCGGCAGTTAGTTTATATGAATAAATTGAAAAGCTGATTAATATTATCTTATAGCTGTGTGCGCATATAATGTAATAATAAATTCTCAATGACTTACACTCGGCTGGGGGAAGGGCATCACTTCCAGGCGAAAGCGCGCTTTATTTGAGATAATAAACCAAAAAGGTAGCGCATCATAACGCTTTGAGTATACCATAGGCAATAAATACCTACTACAGCATTCCCCCCATCCTTCCCATTATGTGTAATCCCGACGCAACACGAAATTAATGAACGACATTGGGAAATAAATCGTGGCAGTAATATATTATTATTATTATTATATTGTACATAAGGGGAATAATATCTACGAAAAGGGGGGGGGGGTTAAACCAATTAGTGGCCTGCAGCAGCAGAAGCAGGTGTCTGCGCATTGTAAGTGTGGGGTCTACTGGTGTGTAGCTTTTGATTGCTTTTCACATTACATGCTTTTCGACAAGATTGGCTGAGTATGCTGTTTTTAACTAGAGTGTTATCGCAATCGACTGGCAAAAGCCCGAAGCTCTCATACAGCTTGCCGCAGCCGACTTGTCAAAGAGAGAAATCAGACGCCAAAACGCTAAAGGAATACCTACTGTCATAGGTGTGTATAAAGATTTAGTACACCGTCGAGTTTCAAAAAAATAAGTGAAATAATAAAAGCCGTTCAGAGATACCACTTGTGTATTCAAATTGCCCGCGGGCACAGGAGACGACCGTGCAACAGCACTGCATTTTCCTAAACCAATTATTCAGATTCAGCCCTGGGATAACTGATAACCGTTGTGCCCGTTGGCCCTTTGAACACATATAAAGTAGAGGTGGTAGAGGTCCAGAGGGAATTTTAAAGCGGTAATTTTCGTACAGAACATTGGAACAAAACCGAAATTGTCAAGCCTTGTATTTACATACATAGCAGTGAAAAATATCGAAGAAATGTATTTTATTATATTCTCGCCGACAATAAAATATGTATATGAAAATATAATATGCACGCGCATTCAACAAAATATACCTTTCAATTTAAAACACTGTGTTCTGATGAATATTTCATAAAGTCGATATTGTCTCATTTATTTGGATGATATTTTTTATCAGTAGTGTACATATTATATAACTACAAGTTGTAAAGTCCAAACAGCAATCAAGTGGCGGTGGTAAGTAGGCAACTAACGGGCAGTTAGTCTTAACTTATGAAATATGCAAATTATATATATATATATTTTTTTAATAACAAAATTTCTTGAAACAATTTTTTCTATAAAATTTAATAAAAGGCTTTATTATTGTTAATAATTTAACATTCTCCGTTACCCCTGTGTTAAATTCGCCGGAAAACCCGTTCTACTGGAATTAGCGTTATGAGTGTTTAAAACTTTTTGACTTTTCTCTATAGCAAAATAACGCTGCGTTCGTTGATTAAGTACACAACAATAATAATATTATTGCAAGTCAGACCGGCGTTCCAAAAGCCCGCAGTCACAGCTTTTTAGATTCTGTACCGAAAAATACATTAAAAAACGATAATAACTATTATTCTAACAATTGCGCTGTGTATACAAAAAAACGATTAATAATTGCAAAACGGCGTTTAATAATTTATGCGCTATAAACACAAACCGGAATTAGCAATTATTAATAATGTTCGGAGGGGGGAGGGGGGCAGCCAAGGCAATGGGGTTCGTGGCATAGTGAGGGGGATGTAGAAATCATTATAGTAAAATATAGGATTGTAGGAATTATTGTGATGTTGAAATTGATGAAATAATTCTCAAGAAAAAACGCTTCGATGCGAATCCGTGGAAATCTTAAATATCGACAAAAAATCGTTCAATGTTTATATATTGCCCAGTTACCGGTTGGGTTAGGTGTGATTTTTAAGAAAATCTGCATGATGTTTTAGCTCTCTACTTCTACTTTTATAGTCTGAATTTTTGACCTCGAGTCCTAAGACTACTCTGAAATAAATAAAAGGATGCCATCCCACCTTTTGTGAGAAAAGGTTTATGATATTTTTCCGGTGTGTCAATGTACAACGGTAGTGGCCATTGTACCTGTATGAATAATGTTCCATTCAAGTTTGGAAAATATAATTCCACTATTTTTTGAAAAGTTATGGCACTCGGTAATTTTAAGTGGAAAAATATGTAAATTTTCGGGTACTTTGTATGATTCCAAAATGCGAAACGGTCAAGTTTTTACATTTTCCGCCACAATAAAGTACTGTTCAGGTACGATTTCCGATCTTTTGACTTTCTACATCCGGTCGTGACACAAAATTACAATAAAAACGCATCATTGTACAAACAATAACCTTTGAGATCCGCATCGAAGCTAATAGATGAGCCAATTAATTATCAATAACCCGAAAGAACCGGAAGGGGTGGAAACTATTTTTTTTTATTTCACTTTTTTAGTAATTGTAGTTTTAGGGCTTAAGGTCTGAAAATTAGACCGAAGGTGGGTTCAAAGTTCTAACATTATGTCGGCTATGTCTGAACATTATTTTAATTTTCAAGTAAAGCAGGTGCCTGAAAAAAAATTACATTAAACCGACGATTACGGTTCATGGGTAACGACGGCAACAAATTTATGTAAACAAACGGTCAACCCTAATCGTATCCACACCTTAAATACTAAAACAACAATTTTTTGATTCTTCTTGTAAATGAGCCGACCTAAAATGGTAAAACGTAGGTACTTACATAGTCCTACAGTCTTTTCTTGTCCAAATGTATGTTTAATTAATCTATTTATGTTATTAATGTACCTGTCATGTTATCATTTGCCGTCATTAGTTAACTTCCTTTGTATTTAAAAGCCGTTACGAAGTAAATATATATATATATCTGTGGCTTGGGTCTAAAAGGGCCAATGTCAATTTTGGGCATAAACGAGTTAGTCCGCTAAATGCAAAAATTAAAACATCCTTTATCTTATTATACTGTGATAAAAACGACACTCTGAGGCCAAAAAATGAATTACTTATGAAGAGTTTGATAAAAGATTCTAAAAACGAAGTTACAAAAGTGAGATTGACCCCCTTTTAGATCCAAGCCACAGATTTATATATATATATATATATGTGTTATTTTTATATAAGTATATAATGTATCAAATACATAACTAAATAGAATTACAATTTTTTTTGTATTTCTGCCATCTACAGTGGTCGTAGTGGGAGGAGGGGAGGTACGTTAAACTTCTTTTAGTTAGTGTTTTTCATTCCCCCACTCGTTTTGTTTGAAATTATCCAACCGTCTGAGATTTAATAAAAATTAATGGTTAATACAAGTACACGACTAGTACAAGTAAAAACACATCCGTTTAATTTTTTTTTTTTATAAAAACACAGATTTACGAATTAACCAGATTACCCCCACTTATTTCGGTCCACTTCGACCGTCTACTGATTCAAACCGAACCGTAAGGGTGCCCCGTCCCAATACAACCCCCCTAAGTACACCGTCCCCCCGTACTGGCTTTAAAAAAAAAAAAAAAAATACCTTTGCATAACGTTATAGTTTAATTATTGGTTTCAGCTTCCTTGCTGCCGATGGGTGAGAGGGTGTTTTTTTTTTATTGTCATTTAAATTATTTTTTTTATTTTTTTATTTGTTAACGTTGTATAACTCAACCGGTGTACTACACTTCTTATTATTATTACTATTGTGTTTATATATATATATTATATATACTTACCCGTACGTTGAGGGCGTTGAGTGGTGTGTGTCTGCTCTTTGATTTGCGCTGTAGGTGTCCTCTGGCAGGGCTGAAGAACGAATGGACTTAACCCGCCCGGACGACGGTCCGGTGGCTAAGGGTTTTCGGCGGCGAGTAGTGTTGTGTTTGCGGCGTTCGGTGGCCCGACAACCGCGGGTCTCGCCGTCGCCGCCAACGCGCCTGACCACCGCCTCCCGGTTGCCCCCCAGCCGTGCCCGGTCAAATAATACACATTATTATATTGTTGCATTATGCAAACTAATAATATACAACATTATAATAACATAAATATATATATATATATATGTATAAAATACCATATAGCACACCCGAAAGAGTTCTTTGCCCCTGCGAGACTTTGTGTTGTACCTAGCTACCTACCTACCTATCTACTTAACTATCGTCGAGGGTTTCTCTTTAGGTTATAATGATAATCACGAGTAGTCAGGTTGCCGATATACCTACGGCTACTATTATTAGTATTAATTATATAGCACTTAACTATATATCCAGTCGGAAAATCGCCATTTATAGGTATTATAATATTGTCTAAACGGTTTGCTGTGGACAACCGACAAAATTTCAGATTTTCAAAACAAATTTATAAGTAGGTACATGTTTTTACAGTTGGGTGTAACAGCAGTCACTTTAAAACCCATGCGAAACAATAGGGAAAACTACTTTTTAAATTATTATTACCAAAAAAACCGTTCGGTAGTAGTAAAAAAATCTATATACAAGGTGATCCATGTCTATATTTTTATAAAGTCATAGCGAACGAACGGATTGATAAAAAATATTAAAAATTCAAACGCTAACTTTTTTAACATTTTTTGACTACATATTTATGGAATTAAACGCATATGTTCTTATTTGAAAAAAAAAACAAGTCCATACTTCTTTTAAATGCAAGGGATTAACGTATAAATATCATATCATTGAAAAATTTTGTAAAATAATGTGTAAGAAAAAAAACATTTTCAAAATAATCATATTTTCCGAATAAATGAGTGTAAGACACACCAGACGGATCAACCGGTATAACTACTAATATAATATGTTTTTCAATGTATAGTTAATACAGATATTCATAAATGTTAATATATATATATATATAATACACATATATTATGATTCACATCTAATCTAAAATTTTGCTATATCCTAATTTGTATTAAACACTGAATAATTGTAAGTAGAAATGTTTATTATACACTTCTAAATGATTGTACTTAAACATATTCGATATTAAGAAAATATTTGCTTTGGCTAGCCACCGTACAATTTTTTGTAAACCCATTTTCTTCTATTTTCCTTATAAATTATCACTTTTGATTTTTCTACACACATTCATAATGCTCACATTTTACAAGATATTTATAATACGATTAAACAAAAAAATATAAAAATTAACAGTTTATCTTCAAAAATTTTCCCAGTACACATATTGTCACAATGTTTGCCACGAATAAATCATTACAGAAGTTTTGGAAGCAAAATAAATTATTTATATAAATTGTTTAAAAAGCCTATTACTCAACCCTTTAAGCACCCATTCAATATATACAGGTTAAATTATAGTATAACTTGAAATAATATTGCGGTTTTGTAGTTTTCTATTTTGAAAAATAATTACCATCTATGATAGATCAAAATTATTTATGTACCAGTAATTTGTTTACAGAAATATCTAATATAGCTTTATCATGGTTTACTAGTAACCATTACGATTTTGTTCATATAATGTGTTTTTTTTTTTTTTAATAGCCTTTATTGGGAAATATGAAGGCTCAATATAATATGTTAATAAGTGTTTCAACTATACCGTTGAATCGTTATAATAATAATATTATTATTAACTGATTTGTAGTCGAAATTTTGTCAGGCTTTTTGGTCTAAGACTTCAAAAAAAAAAAAACAGACTGCTTACAATCCCATTAAGGTATCCTATTTTCACACGATAAGCGAGTAAAAAAATATTCTGTTAGTACAGACAAGTGTTTTTTTAAATATTATTTGTAATAATTTATTGTAACCGCTTGATAGGAAAATGAGTGTTCAAAACAAGACAAAAGTAAAATTAGAAAAGCTAGTACAGTGGTAACAACATAGAGTGGTGACGAGAAGGGGTGGGGGGGGGAGCACAGGTTTATAAGAATTATTACAAGTTGAAAAAAATATAAATTTACGAGGTTTTTTTTGGAGTTATAAAATCAAGACGTATCGTTTTGTGTGTACACAAATTTCTCACAATCTATAACGTTTTAAAATGAAACGACTTTGGTTAAAGTTATAAAGAAAAAAAACCACCGAACTTACATATAAAAAATGAACACGTATGGCCTGCATACAAATATTGAAAAAAAATTGCTACCTACTTCTAAGCTCAAATTTCGAACGAATTCGCCTTTTTTTTAAAATGTATATAGCGCCAAAATGTACAAGCTAAAAAAACAAAACCATACAAATTTTAAATATTTCGTAAGAATTCAAACGACCAACTGAAAAAAATGTACTCTCTTTAGGCATTACAAATTCTATTTTGGCTTCAATGTGTTTGATCCGTAATTTAAACACACATAAATGTACAATACATACTTACGTATTACACTTGTTGGTGTATACAACTTTTATACTTAAATTTTTATACAACTTTAATTTTTTAAATAGGTTTTTTATATTATGTATCCATAATTTGTATAACATGATTCCCATACTATTTATTTTATATTTGCTATTAAATGACTAAGTATTTTTTTTTTTAACCGTATTTTTCTAATAATTGATTGTTATAAGCAATCGTATTTTACAAAATAATATTCTTGGAATCAGTATTTATTGAACATAATAATAATAATATTGTATATAAATTTTACAATACAAAATATGATTTTCTATAAAATATCATAGCAATAATGTCGTACTCTAAACAGCTTAAAAGATAAAATATATATATATATATATCTTAAAACATTATGTAAAATACGTTAAATACGTCTTACAGTAGGTACGTCTAATAAAATACGATTTATGAAAACATTTTAAAATTTTAGTACGCTTAGTAATAATAAGGAATGAATAAAATTATATTTCTAATCCAAAAGAATGTTGAAATAAATTAAACTAAGATAGTGTAGAACGGCTAAGAAGGCGAGAATACGGATATACACCTATAAAATTCAAAAGCACATTATAATCGAATAGCATGAAACGTTTTAATTCTTTTAAATAGTTTTCGAAATCATTGATGATTTTTATTATCATATCGTCGGTTAAAAATTGGTCTTCGTCAACGTTGAAACTGAGCCGTTTGATTTCATTTGAACTGGCCCCGTTTAAATCGTTTAGCATCCCGTTGGCCTTTGTCCGCAATTTTGCTGAAATGTCATTAATGTGTTCGACGTTACTAGTTTTTCCGGACTTGAGTTCTGATGAAATAACTACAAGAAAATCATCTTGGTACGCCGTTAATTTCAATGCTTCGAGGACGACGTTAATGATACGGTCTTTTATATGTGTTAGCACCTTTACGTCAAGCTTGAATAATTGTTGTTTATAGACATGCAGTACAACCGCCAGATAACAATAAATTCTGGCATCGATAATCTTGACCAACAAGAGTTGGTGGTCATAGCGTTCGTATGGATCGTATATCCAAGTGCGATTTTTCACAAATTCTTTGGTAATAAGCACCTCGAGCTCAAATCGTTGTTTCACTTCACTCCAATCGGCTTTGACTTCTTTAATTTTTCTAAACAATATTTGATTGTCTTTCCAAAATGGTTTGAGATATAAAAAATCTATCATAGCCAAAGTACGGCTTTTGAAAAGATCTCCATTGTACAAGATAAAATGATGTAGATTGTAGAGCATATCATCGGATGTTGTCTTATTTTTCGAAATGAAATCAGATTCAGTCGCAGTCGGCGGAAGGTATTTATCAACCACACAATTTTCGATGACATTTGAAACACCGGTTAGCAGGTGGTCGTCTTCGAATGGGTTTTTTTTGGATATAAGGTTTATGATCACCGTATTGACTGAAGGCGAAGATTTTCAAAAAAACTATCCAAGGCCAATTTCCACTCCCGAAATTTGACCTTATTAAAATTTGTAGTAAAGTGTTGGCTTCCTTTTCAATACGTTTTACAGTACTCTGGCTATGAATGAATATAATATGTTCTTTGCTTTGAAGCTCATCAACTAATTTTTTCATAGTTAATATATTATATTTTGTAAAAACACAAAAACTACATTGTACGTCTTTAATCTTTGTCTCAAATTTACCCAGAGACTCGATTTTTAATTTTATATCTTTATCTTCCTTACAAGGTTCTGACAGAATAAACTCTTCAGAATTTTGTAAATTAATTGGAAGATCTTTGAATGTTTTTATTTGCATTACGGCATATACATGCGACGCAGTATATAGCGGAAAATATAGTGTAGGAGTAACCTAAAAAAGAAAATATGTAACAAAAAGTAACTATAAAAAGAAGTAACTTGACTAACATATTGAAGCATTGATATTATTTGTTTTAAAAAAAAATATAATTTCAGTATGAAGCAGCTGTTAAATATATTACATTTTGATTATATATTGACCGTAAAGCAGTAGTATGACTACAAATTAATAGAATCATCTCATTTGTACAAACAAATATTGATAGTTTTATTTGTATTTTAATAAAATAACATAGTATATATATATATATATATATATTGTAGCTTTTTTATTGTTATACAAAATGTTAGCATTATTTTTTATATTTTACAGCTACTATCAACTGTAAATTATGAGATTGAAATTATTTCAGAGAAAAATCATAGTTAAGAATATATGCTTACATAAATTAATTAAAAACTATGCATGTATATTGTATATATATATATATATATATATATCCCCATCAAAATCCCTATAAGTGAAAGAAGGCCAAGTTCCAGACCCCTTCCCAAAAATGTCAGCCTATCAAAGTAGTGATATATGCATTGTGGCCAAGTCAGCTATTTTTTTAATTCATATGCACACTTAACTTCTACTTTTATGCTCTTTTATTTGTATTGTTTATTTACGCAAGTAATAATTTTTATATTGTACA